GACCAAGTCCTGAAATGAATCTGTGAAATATTTACTGAAAAACCGTGATTTTTTGTGTTAAAAAATGCCGTTTTTTAAGTTTTTCTCATAAAGCACTGTTTGTTTTGAGAAAGGAAATACAGCGCTTTGTCGAGCTTGTTGAGCTCTATTTGGACCAAGTCGTCTCCAGGTTGGACCAAGTTTAGAAATGAATCTGGGCCGAAAATATTCGAATCTGGTGCTAACTTTACCTAGGTGAAAAGTTATAAGGTTTGATTCGACAGACTCTTCTGAGTATTTTATTAAAGTTTTGAAGTTTTCTTGAACTTTGTGAGCAAAAAGAACTTTTTCTTCAACTGGATTGCAAATCTTCGTGTATTTGTATGGAGGTATTCTACATAGGATCGAAAAACACTAATTACTAATTTGGAACAGACAGGAAAGAAAAAATTTACGAAACTAAAAAATTGAGATTTTCTCGGCTTTGAAGGAAAAACAGAAAAACTTCATAATTGTTTCAAGGAAGGTCGTGGAGAGCTTGCAGTGATCTCGTTTTACAGTCCTCTACATCAGACTATGTTGGGATCAAAATGAAAGGTTCTCTGCAAAAAGTGTACCTTTAGGGGGGAGAGGGGTTTTCCCCAGCTGTTTTACACCTAGTGCCAAAAGTAATTGATGAGACCTGGTTTTTGACCGCTTCGCTTTTAACGTCCTTGGCTGATAGGCGTTTCGTTCTAAAAAGGCTTTTAGTCCATATACTAGTTCAATTTTCAACGTTGAACAAGAATATGTATGTTCGAATGTTTCTTAAAAAAGTCGTGAAAAACCGGGCTTTTGACCTCTTCCGAGTATTTTGTAATTTTCTCGACGAGGAAAAGATTTTGAGAAACCGGGAACACATATTCGTGCTCACCGCGCAATTTGCTATCGAACGGTGTGTAAAACGTCGAAAAAATTATCCGAATATAATCTTTTCCACCAACTCATTGCTAAGATTGAGAAACATTTAGAAAAAGTGTTTTTCCCGCAAAAATACCTCAGGATTTTTGTCTGCTTTAAAAGTTCTTACGCAAATGCAAAAACCTGTTTTTCTTATAGCCCACGTGGACTACATGGGAAATATATGCTATCCCACGTGGGCCCACGTTCTGCAGCAATCTCGTGGAATGATGCAGCACGTACTCAAACTTTGAAAACGGAGGAAAATCGTCTTTGAAAGTTGTTTTTTTCTATGCATCTGGCAAAATATCTACTCCTCGCTCATGTAGCTTGCCATGTTTGAATTCACCTTCATATCTTGTCCCATCTGGCTTAGTATATACACCTCGCTCTTGTAGTTTGCCATCCTTGAATTCGCCTTCATATCTTCTTCCATCTGGCCAAGTATATACTCCTCGCCCATGTCGTTTGCCATCTTTGAATTCACCTTCATATCTCTTTCCATCTGGCTTAGTATATACTCCTAGCCCTTGTAGCTTGCCATCCTTGAATTCACCTTCATATCTTCTTCCATCTAGCAAAGTACTTACTCCTCGCCCATGTAGCTTGTCATCCTTGAGTTCACCTTCATATCCTACACCATTCGAGGACTTTAAAATATTTCTTATTTCGTCTGCTTGATATGGTACATTCTCAGCATTGTTTGCAGGACGTTGTAAACTACGTACGGTGTAAATATCGCCGACATTGTGTTCTTGTAGATGTAGAGAAATATCGGCAGTAATTATAGGATTATCGTTTCTTTCTAGCGGTACCGTTACAGACAATCTTTTCTCGAACAGGAACTGCAAAAGATTTCGATGTAAATTAATAAACTTGGGTCGATCTTGTGGTCGTTCGCTCATACAGTGACTGATAATTGTCCAGTAGTTATCACTGCATCTCGTGGGTTGTTCTAAGCGTTTTCCACTTATTACGAGACGAGAAACGTCTTCGTCAGTTTCTATTTGACGCCAGGGTATACTTCCTCTCGAATATGCTTCCCACATTAGTACACCCATTGAAAACACGTCCGATTTTTCACTATAAGACGTCTGGCATTGACTATTCGCTAATACTTCAGGAGCTGCATAGCGCACAGGCACAACGTTCAAAAGTGTTGAAGATGAAGTTGGTGACAGTGGTGAATAAATTGCGCTTCCCCGACTTAAACCAAAATCCGTAAGTTTGACAAGACTGTGTGTGGGGTTTTCATTATCAATATGAAACACAAGAACATTACGACAAGCAAGATCACCATGAACAACATCGTTATGAACCAGATAGATCATTGCATCGGCTATTTGAACAAATATTTCGCCTAGAACACTTTCAGCTAATGCTGAGCTTTCGACTATGTCAAGGAAGTCTCCTTTGGGTGCATACTCCTGAAGAAGCATGATTGATTGTATTTCTGGCTGTTGTTTGGTGTCTTTTACAAATCCATATGTCCGAACAATGTGGGGGTGACGACTCAGTTCGACGTAAAATGACGCTTCTTTTATTGCGCGAGTGCCAAGAATTTTTAACAAAATTATCTTAGGTCTGTTGCTTTGTTTATTGACCCATTCAGCCAGATAGACTATTTTACCAAACGCCTGAAACAATCGGCTAGTTATAGTTACATCAGCATTAAGTTCGAACTGATATTTTTGTGCACGTATGTCACTTTCAAATTGGGCCACCAGCTTTTTAACAATTGGATTTGGACGAAGGTTTTCTATCGATAGTGGCTGATTAGTAACTGGACTTGTTTTTTGTTTCTGCAGATATTGTATAATTGCGTCTCTTTCATATGTCTGTCCGTCTTCTGCTAAAACTGGTTCTTGAAACATTTTTAATGATAATGGACAGGTTAGAGAGGAGATGAATGATGTTGATGGATCCATGTGTTTTCTGACGCTCTTTTAAAGTACCCTTTGTAAATACTTGATAATTGCAGTAAATAATCGCAAATTATTCATGTTCTTTTAACTAAGTGAAAATAAACTATAGAAGAAAAGAAAAGGCATCTAATACATGAAGAATGAAAAGATACGGCTACTATACAGATATTTAGATAAGAAAGAATAAAAAAAGAGCAGACACTCACCTGCAAAATTAAACAGAATTCAAAAATACTGAAATAATTCTTCAACTCACTCCATTATGAAAAATGTTCAGAATTTGTCGGGAATTTTCTCTGGAAACTTTTCTAGTAGAGCATAGAAGAAAAATCAAATGTTTAAATATCATACATAGTTCGAACGGCTTCTGCGTAATGACTGTTTGGAGAAGGCTCTCACCTAGCTTATAGAAGAAGGTTTTTTTTAATCTTTTGTTGATAGATAGATAGCGGACCCTTAACTTCCAGTGTAGAGCGGAGTACAAAAAAGAAAAAAAGAAGAAAAAAAAAAGAAAAAAGGTCTTTGGAGACATTCTACGGATGCAAAAGTATTCGTGCGGTTGGTTTTCACTTTGTTCGTCAAAGGACAATGATATTGGGGCGTTATCTGATCCGGTCCGGTTTAAAAGTTTAGACTGGCCGGTCTCCACCAGTCTAGAAAGATTTTCAAACCAGTTTTTTGCCGATTTTGAATTCTCAGCATTTTTCTCTTCTTCACTAAAAAAATGAGTTTGCCATCTTTGAATTCACCTTCATATCTTCTTCCATCTAGCAAAGTACTTACTCGTCGCCCATGTAGCTTGTCATCCTTGAGTTCACCTTCATATGTGTTTTTTGCCGATTCTTAGCATTTTTCTCTTCTACACTAAAAAAAATGAGTTTTTCTACCCTCTTGCCTATCTAAAAATATTTGAAAACTCGCCTGGTTTCTGCCTTTTTCCACCGGTCTAAAAATTTTTTGAAAATTCTTTTGCCATTTTTAATCAGTCCAGAGAATTTTTGAAAAAATCTGGACCAAAAGAATTGGACTTTGAAGGTATCGCTTGCAACGGTTTCAGTTGATGAGATACAAACGTTCAACAACTACGCGCTCTGCCGTCCTACGGTACGTCACATTCGCTCTCAATCCGATACTTGCACCAATAACGCGAATTATGTTTCGCATATCAACCAAACTGAGTCAAGCCAAAGACTTTTGTCAATATTTTTCATTCTCACTATAGGAAAAAATCTTTCCGCCAAAACATTTTCCAAAGCACGATAAGAGGCAAAATCGGCCCCCTCTCGGGTCAAGTTTATATTCACAAGTCTGATGTAGTTTTTCTTCATGATTAAAACTAGCACCTCAAAAAAAACATTTTCACCCCACCGCCCTCGAAAAAATTCCGCATCCGAAATAAGTGTTTTATGATCGCCGGGACGAAACGTTAACGTCATGGTAGCTAGGAGTCTATCTCTCATGATAAACTCACACCCTCACCCTCACATTAGTGTTCCATTAGAAAAGAAAAATAGGGACGCAGCAACCTATATGATTTAAAAAATATCAGAATGTATATACAAAAGTAAATCTTAGAAACGTCAGTCTTTTTATTGTTTAAGCGAGAAACTGCAATAATTTGTTTTGTTCTGTTATATGAGCATTAGTGAGTTGCGGTACTCGCTATTTTCTCGAATAGGACGGAATAATCATTACAATAAGAGATTTAAATAACGGGTGGTGCAAAAGTTCTGCATTGATTTTGATTTTGATATAGAGTTGCAATGGAACATCGTAGAGACTTTATCCTTTTTTTGTTAGAAAGAGCAAAGTGTCTAATACAAAAAACATATAAAAGTGTTTGATCGGAAATGTTTTCCGAAGGTCAGAAAAATGTTCGAACAAAAGACATCGGAAAACTGTTCCGCAACTGTCGATCGCAGTCGAAAAAAAATTCTACTCCGAGAGGGAAGTTGCTAGAAACTATATACTTTACATGGAAAAGAAAGCTTATTGAGTCCTCCACCAAGCGATATTATTTGGAATAGAACACTGCTGCTCTGTGAGTCATTCGCACAAAAAGTTCCTTTCGCGTTATAAACACAAAATTGAGTTTTTAATCAAAGGATCTTCTGTTCAGTCTCTTGTTCTCAAGACCAATTATTTTTGGCCAATTATTTATCATACGAAAGCCTTCGTTGTAATGAACAACTTCATATATATGGTGCTCGAAAACATCAAAAGTGGGTAATGAAAAAAGTCAAACAAATATATTTGGATACAAGAATTGTGACCGAAGTTGCGGAACAGTTTCCCGATGCCTTTTGTTCGAACATTTTTCTGACCTTCGGAAAACATTTCCGATCAAACACTTTTATATGTTTTTGTACTAGACACTTTGCTCTTTCTAACAAAAAAAGGATAAAGTCTCTACGATGTTCCATTGCAACTCTATATCAAAACCAAAATCAATGCAGAACTTTTGCACCACCCGTTATTCTATTCCAAGATATAGAATTCATTTAATATTTCAAGAAAATCATAGCCCTTTTCAATCAATGAATATTCGATCTGCTTTTGTTGAAGATGAAAAGAATATTTTTCAGCAGTCTTACTGGAAATAAAATCAACTTTAAAACTTCTTTTATCAATATTTGTTTATTTTTCAATACATTTTGTTCCCGATACGATCTTTTGGTGATCTATATCAGAGCTGATCACCTGCATAATTTTTCACTCCTGCGCGATACCGCGCAGGGGCAAAATAAAATTTATCCGCGTTGCAGTTTGCAGGTTACCAAAAAAATCTTTTGTTCTGCACAGGCAGAGGCTGAGGATGATAAATTCTGCACTTCTCTGCCCTGCAGGTTGGCTGCAGGTGGACCCTAAGGCGAGGTATAACAATTTTTTTTCCTAGTGACCACTATCAGTCTGTATTACACACTGATAATTATAGATTGTATCACCAGTTACGATTCATTATCCTTGTTCTATATTTTTCTCTTTCTGTTATCGTTATAGTCGTTTGTCTTCTATATACTATAGGTAGTGCGCATAGTAAAAGAAACATTACATACAATAGGAACGAAATTCATTGTTTTTCTTTATTCTACTAAGTATATTTTTCGTTTAGTTTAGTTTAAAAGAAACCATTGGCAATATGCATTTGTAAATTCTTTTCGTATCTTCTACTAAGCAATAGAAATTTATTCAATTATATGGTTTCAATTAATGTCGCAAATTGTTATTACAAAAACTCATTGATACATAGTTCTTTATTTGCTAATCGGATATATGAAGATAGTGTGTTTATTATTAGCACATTATAGTAACGGGTGATTCAGAAATAAACGGACTATTTTAATTTTCCTATAACTTTGTCAGTTTTCATCCAATCGACTTCATTTTTTTATTAGATTCCCCTTAAAATTCTCTACAAAACCATGTGTCTTTCTTTCTTAGACCTTTCAAAGTTAATTTTTTAGAAAATGAAAAGTAATGACTTGCAGAAACTGGTACTTTATAAGCATGAAAAAGGAATAACACCAGCACAAATATTCCGTGATTTGAAGGGGGGTATTTCAAGAAGTCAAGTTTACGAATGGTTCAAAATGCTCAACAAGACAGGACGAATTAAGCTATCGTATCCTTCTGGCCGTACACGAACTGCGAGATCAAAAAAAATGGTTCAGAAAGTCAGAAGTCGACTAAAACGGAAAAAACGACTATCAACAAGAAAATTAGCTGCGGAATTGAACGTTTCTCAAATTTCGGTGTTTCGAATCCTTAAAGATGATCTCGGATTGAAGGCTTACAAGAAACTTGTCGAACCCGCTCTTACCGATCTTCAAAAAGTGAAGAGAAATAAAGGAGTAGAATCGATAAGTCGGTTTTTCGTTTCAAAAAATTTCCGGCTTCAGCACGATCTACTGCCCAGATTCTACCATTTTGCCGATTGTATATACCGTCCAGATCGAAGTATTTTTCATCAGAAAACAATATTCGTAAAGTTTTTATTTTATCGAAATTGTTCAAAATCCAGTTTGCAAAGGAGTAGTATCGATAAGTCGGTTTTTCGTTTCAAAAAATTTCCGGTTGAAATTAGTGAATATCATGAATGAACCAGAAAATTGAGAATTTAAAACGCAATACCAGATTTATTGTTACAAGGTCAATAATATACTGTGTTTATATACTGATGATAAGAAATGGTTAGATTATCAA